ACGCGGGTTACCTGGTGCTCCACCTGCATCCTAGAATGACTCGGCTAAACTAACGCCAACCTCTTCTCTCTGAGAACAGACCCACGCTTGTACCAGCAAAGAACACGAGCATCTCGCGTCGTTACCAAACTATACCTTCCCTACTAGGTTATTTCCTTAGCTACAGCCACCCTCTTGCTATTCTGCCAGGTCAAAGTTGGAAGATTTTGAAGCGTAACTGCCACAAAACAGTAAAATTTGAAGGAAAAAAAACAAACCACACCCCAAACCAAAAAGCCACGCTTCAGCCAGGCTCTGGTCTTCAGTTGCTAAGGAATGACCTGCAAGTGGGCAGAAGGCAGCACTGCCCAAGTTCGGTATCGCTTTGTCATTACTGTCGAAAGCACCAGTACCACTGGTAATCCCAGAAGAAATATTTTGACTTGGGGAAGTAACTCCATAACAGAGGGGGAGAAAAGTCATTAGTTAAATCTCTTGAAAAAACCCGTTAAATGCTTTGACTCAGCCCTCTGTACCTATCAGTCCCACCATGACTAAAAACTGAAGAGAAATCATACTTGGCTATGACTAAAACTCAATAATGTCTTTAAACCAAAGGTATAAACCGCTCCTAGACCTGGTCTTGGAGCACCGCAAGGCAAGGAACACGACAGGGGAGCGTTTCCTTTCCTGTTTACAGCCAGTGGTGTTTTCTGTTTTGCATAAACCCACTGCATTCTCACATAACCGTTTTCCAGCATCATGGATGAATGTTTAAAATAAATCAGAATTGCATTTAACACTTGAAAAATGCTGACCGGGATTCATGAAGCCTCCAAGCACATTTTTCCTCCCCCTGCAAGTGTCCAATGCTGCAATAATTTAAAGCTGTATTTTAAGAGGTATCTAATCAAGGATCTCTGTTTAATGACAAAGATTAAATGAAATAACGGTTTTCAGAAACAAGGGAACATCTTAACCAATTTCCTTTTTATTTGTCAAAACAAGGCATGTGTTCCCCACCCTCTCCTAAAGCCGTGATGCGGCCCAGCGGCGTTTTTCCCCGCCTAGCGCTGTCCAGTTTAGACACAAACTTACCCGTAGGGCGCCTGGCGGTATGAGCCGGGCGGAAAAACCCCACAACAAAGCAGGAGTCAGCTGACAAGTCGCTTCTATCGGAAGCACGCTGTGCACCGCTCCTGGACATCCGCGTAACCGATACCAGTTAACCCACGCTTCAACGGAAAGAGAAAGGGCATCCCACTACTAAATGAAACAAATCTTTTATTCATGAGCATTGTCATTTTAAATTCACAAATTATGAAAGGAAGGCAAATCAGAAGAGACTGCCAGAGCATCTTTTAAACGATAAAGGTATAAATCTTCTTTCTGAACATTTCTAACTTGAGAAAGAAAAAGGTTGCATAGGCTTTCTACAGGTGTGCACAAAAAAAAAGAAGTACATGGAGGATTTTACATTACAATTCAGAGTGTACACTGGCTACTTGGAAAGGAAAATATTTACTTGCGAGTCCAAGACAGCTATTGGAACGACCTACAGAATAAGGCTTATGAATATTTACTTTTCAGTCCTGTAAAATAATACTGAAAGACATAACTATCAGAAAAATAAAATGACACTTGTGAATCTTGTTCTGGAATCTCTCGCCCATGGGATCCTTTCAGAAAGGACTATTTTTACGTTTGCCTCTCCCAAGTTACTTCGGAAAAGAAACAGTGGTCATGGCATCAGGGGATTCTTCACAGCATCGGAACAAAACAAAACATTTATTAGAGCACAAGTGGAATGTTCTCGGCATGCAGAAACAACCAACCATGCAGACAGAAAAAAAATCTTCAATAAATTACAGGCATAAAATTATTCACATTTCTCCTTAAAAGAACAGCTACAGCATCTTTGTAGCCTCGACAGTCATACCATCAAAGCTGAAAGAGGTCCACTCTTTCAGGAGCGCAGGCCTGCGTGCCTGACGGAGAGAGGTTTTCAATGGCTATTTTTTGTGAGTATGTGGCTTGTTCTTTGGTGTGTGACAGTCAGAGTTCGGGGGGGGCTGTTCCATGTGTTTAATTCTGCATTTTCGATTGTTCTTCGTGATGATATTACAAACTGCACGAATACTTCTAGTTATTTAGCAGACTAACCTCTAGAACAAGAGTGGATCTGTTATAAAGTTAATTCTTGCAGGTGATAAAGTACACGTTTTCCTGGTGA